AGAATAGAATAGAATAGAATAGAATAGAATAGAATAGAATAGAACAACAGTGTTGGAAAGCAATAGCAATAGCAGTTTGATTTATATCCCGCTTCATAGGGCTTTAAGCCCTCTCTAAGCGGTTTACAGAGTCAGCATATTGCCCCCACAGTCTGGGTCCTCATTTTACCCACCTCGGAAGGATGGAAGGCTGAGTCAACCTTTGAGCCGGTGAGATTTGAACCACCGAACTGCAGTTAGCAGTCAGCTGAAGTGGCCTGCAGTACTGCACTTTAACCACTGCGCCACCTTGAACGTTCACATTCATGCATTCCCTCCATGCTTACTAGTCACATTGTTTCAGTGATGCAAGGTGCTTTTTAAAGTAATTACTGCCAACTACACAAAATGCTTGGTGCATCAAGCTGTGAAGATCTCTCTGAGCTTCATTAGACATGTGCTTTTTACAGCTTATCTTTTTCAGTGGAACAGTGAAGAAAATGTGGACGAATTTTCCCAACAACATGAATTCTTTTGAGAAAAGTAGGAAAGCAGCACAAGTAAATGAAATCACCTTTTAATGGTGCTTTTCTACTGTTAATGTCTGCCAGATTTTTCACCATCCTTTTTTGCAACAGCGTGTTTCTGATATATTAAGATAAAGAGATACAGGGATACAAACACTTTTGGGAGCTTTAAAATTTATATTGGCTTACCTCGTTTTTTATTATTTGTTTGTTAAATTAATTTGCCACTCATCTCACTGCACAGTAATTCATGCTTTGCTTTGAATGCACCGTGATTGGAATCAGATCAGGGAAGGTCATTTTGGCCATTGAAGCCAAACCACTGCTCCGTAAAGGAATCCAAATTATTCCTTCCTCAGTAAATCCCTGACCAATGGTTGGTTAGTGAAGGGAACTTAGTAAAGATCTAGTGAAGGGGAATTTGTCATTTCTAAGAATTAGTACCACTAAGTGTTAGGAAATTTTTCCTATGAGTCTAGTAACCTACATAGAAATACTTGAAAAATATTATGCAGAAGAAAATCAAGACATGTTCTCCATTATTCATATTCTACATCCTTGATTGATAGAGAACATGTCTTTTTCTTCGGTACAATATTTTTCAAGTATTTCTAGAATATTATGGTGTCCTATTCCAAGCGAACCCTTTCAATAGAATTTAGTTTAAAAACTTTTAATGCCCTAATTGTCCTTGTCTAAACCTGCCCCAGTTTTTCTGAATCATTATCAAAAGTGTGATGCCTAAAACTGTCCCAATTATTTTGAGGTGGGGTATGGGAGTGCAGATTGAAGTAAAGCAACTATTTTTCTTACAACAGTCCCTTAGATGTCTCTTAAAATTCAAATACTTCATGTTAGTGTTCTAGAAGTCATCCTATATGCAACCACATTAACAAACTTGTACTATTTAGAATTTGTGTTTTTAATTAATTGATACACTTGAATGTTAACACAGTCCTCCACAGAAAAGTGTGCTTTAAAACATGCACAAGTTGTACTAGTGACTCTTCCCCGATCTAGGACACATAAAAAGTGATAACTTTTATCATTTCCAGTATACCCAATAGAAATAGGCAATCTGAGTCTCTCTCTGGAACTATTTCTGCAGATCCAGGATGCTCTTAGTGCACAGAATTGCATATAGAGTAGCCCCAAAATAACATGTACTAAGTTTTGCCCAGCACCTTTCTCATGCTTTGAAATACCTCAAGAAAAGTATAATCTACTTTAATCAAAGAGATTCAATATTCTATTGACTCCAGGCAAGCACAAAAATGTTGGACTAAACTTTTCAATAAAGAGTCAACACCTGTAAACCTTGGAGCTCTTTGCAGACTAAAAATAACGCCCATAAAGAATTTGTTCAAACATTCAAAAGATCCTTACATTTGTTTATACTATGTTTACTAATTACACACATTTGGAACCCAAATACATACTTATGAGAAAATTCCGTTGTGTTCTATTGCATGCTTCAGCAAGGTGGATATTGTTATCTGTGTTCAAAAAGAGTATTAGAATTTTTAATGTACTAAGAAAAAAGTGGGGGTTGGAAATACCACCCTATCCCCAATTGGCATTACTCAATAGCAGATTGCTCCATTTATTATTTGTATCTGCTGAAAATAAATTGCTGAGTTAGTTGAGATGGCATGAGGCTATCAAGACATATTCTGCTGAGGCTGCAGTCCTAAGAGTCTTGCAATTAAAAAAAAACCTGAATGCAATGGACTTAGTTCAGAGAAGACAGGCATAGGGATACAGCCTGCATGCACTGGATGGTTTATGATCTGTGATCAATGCTCCAGAAATGCAGTGTATTGCTTGGCACTTCCTTTACTGAAGGATAAATATGCAGTGACTAGTTGCCTTTCTGAAGTGTGAGATACAGCAAAGCCAGATGCTAAAATATCTCAGGAACAGTTATGAGAAATTCTATTTTTCAAGAAACCTAAACCTATGCAGGCACTAATTTTAGCAGATATGTGTACCTCTGATGCAATACCATTCTTCCTTAACATTTGAGAAAATTGCCACCAAAATTGCCATTCACATTATAGCAAGTTTTCTTATTTTCATTGTTTATACAAGCAGATTGATCAATCTGATCCAGAGATTAGTTTCACCGCCATGTGTTCTTTCCCACTAAACCATCTCATTGTTTTAAGACACAGATTTCACAGCTCTGAATTTAATTTTGTTCGTTATCAAAAAGAAAGAAAACAGAGAGAACATCACAGGGGAATAAAGTCTTTCACCCTCTATCTTTCCCATTATTCCTCTTCTATTTGTCTTGATTATTATTCTTTTAAAAAATTCATGCCTTTCCCCAAATCATTATTGTAAAGCCAAAGCAGTCCTGAACATGTATTTTTAAAAAGGAATTACATCCATAAATCGAAATATGCCGTTAGTGTCTTTGAGAGATTGGCTCTGTTTCTCTAATGAGCCACTGAAGGGCTTCATGCCTTCCTTGTCGTTCAAGTTCTGGTCCAATCACTTCTCTGCATTTTCTGTGGTAGTCATTCAGCCAGTCACACTAAAAGGGGAGAAAAATAAAGAAACTGTCTAAAAGAAAGATTTAAAAATGCCAAGCAAAGTAAAGGGAAGGGACTTCTGCTTCATCAAAGATTTGGGTGAAAAACTGGCTCTCCACAGCCCTTCTAAACAATGGTAGAGAGGGGCCATACAGATCTAGGAGGCAACCCGGTATCAGAGGACAGGAACAACTAGATAGGGAATTGTAGGATATAATGTTAAGAAATTTGACAGAAATGTGAGACTTCATTGCATGACTCATGATTTTGCAATCTATTTGTCCAAAGATGTATGTATGCATTTGTTAGATTTCTTTTATCTGCTTCTGTGATGTCTCTCTTGGATAACTCCTCTGACTCTTCCTTAGAGGCTGGCTTGAGGGAGGATGAGCTCATTCCTAGCATGTAAGGAACTAGGTTAATTAATGACTCTGTACTGCTGGCCAACAGAGATTTACAGTGGGCTTCAGCTGGGGATAGTTTACAGGTCAAGAGGACTAGGAGGAACTGCCTTCGGCTGTCGATCCAAGAGCACACAGGACAGAGAAAAGACAAGAGGAAAGGAAATCTGCCAGATTACTTGGGAGGAAGCCCCGCCCCTCTTGATGGGCTGCACCAGAAAGCTATTTATCACGGCAGGCAGAGGGAGGCGTAGCTGGGAACCTGTTTGGTTGTGCATTTGTCATGCTTCCAGCTTGACTTGGTGCCTTGGACACTCTGAACACCTTGCCAAGTGGATCTCATATATGTACTTTAGATTTTTCTGGTGGATTAAAGTTTGTTTGGTAGACTTGTTGGAAAACTTTTTATTGTTTTATGGATTATTGGCCATTGCCTTGTGAATTAATCTTGGTCTACTTGTGGCTGGATTTATTTGGGACAGTTCTGAGGCCAGGTGAGGGAAACTGCTGGGGAATATTAATAAACTCTCTAAAACACACTTCCATATGTGTGAATGGTGCAGCACAGATCCCATAAATTAAATGCATAACATATACAATATATAGAAGACTAGCTTATTTTATTTTGGTTTTGAGATTTAAACTTGCCAGTGTTTGCTATGTAATAATTAGGGATTGTTCAGGCTCCTAATCACTTTCTTTACTTTCAAAAATTGTTATCCATTAGAATCATCTGCACAATTTGTTGTTGTTTTGTTCACTGGGTGCTCAATGCTCCCAGTAGTAGTAGTAATATTAATAGGCTTTTAGGGAGATGGATCAAGATATATTTCATTCTGGAAGAAGCTTATAATCTCTATCTTTAAAGAATGTCCTGATTACATGCTTAGGAAATCCAGGTCATTATAGTAAGATATAAATGGAGCACATGATAACAATGTTAACTCCATCAAGGAATTGCATTCTTTTCTACTACGTTACAATTCATAGCTTTCATCTTGCTAAAGTTTCAGTGCTAGTGGAAAACTTTCTGTGGCTGTTATCCATAAATAAATCTACTCACTGCATAAACCCTCCCCAAATATGACTCTGCAGTTCCTTATTAACATTTCCAACTTTTTCCTGGCCTTTAGTAGGTACCGGTATTAACAGCATCTTTGCAGTTGTCTAACACTTCCTTGGTAGTTCAACAAGTGTGTATATTGCATGATAGTTACATTATGTTTGGTAAGTTTTATAACTTGAATCTGAGTTTGGACAAAGTATCTGGAAACCACTACTATACAATAAACGATAGTAGCTAAAAGTATCTCTTATAACTTGCATATAAATTTAATAAATAATTTTAATCTTTGTTTTAAATTTGTATATCTTGTGTTTATTTTGTGTGCTTGAAAAGTGTAGAAAGGCAGGAAAATATATCATGTGGTACCAGTAACGTAAGGTGATTTTAAGAGTTTGTACGTATGCATGCGCAACTACACATGGTTAAAACCACCTTAAATTCATTGAGAACAGATAATAGAGTATTTATCTAATCAACTTTGAGTTGGTCTGTTTAAGGTCAGGGCTGTCTTCTTGTACAATAAATGTGATACATTATATTTTGAAATCTTGGTGAATTAGGAGATTCTCCTAGCCAAACATCTTGAACTCCATCTCCAAATACCTCTGGTGTTATTTATTTTATCATCGTTTTATAACAGAACTGACTGAGATAAGTTGGCTGTAAATAAGAAATAAATATTGTCATTTTGATTTGATTTTAAAGTTCAGAATAAAAGCTTCCAAATAAACCATAATGCATTTTATTACCCATCTTACCTCTCTTTGAGTCAGTAAGTGAACAAGTATCATTTTTGTTTGGATTGGGACTAGGGTCAATGGTTCAAACGTCAAACTTCCTCTGTTGCTGAAGTTATACTGTGAAAAAGAAAGTGCTACTTAGTCTTAGTCCTCTTCACATCAAGAGGAACAGATATATGTATGCATAATTGCCAGAGTGTCTTGCTCTGCTCTAAAGAAATAAACCTTAAAACAAACTTTAACAAAGTTCCCTACTTGTTAAAAAATTGCCAACCAAGGAATCTAGCATGGAAGTATGTAGGCATAGTGAAATGAATATTTCTGCTCTGATCAAATGTAAAATGTATGGGTTTTGTCAGCAATTAGGTAAGATGAATAGTCAAACTCTGTGAATTGGTGAGCATACCGGATCATGTTAGGGTGCTCTCACAAAATGGTTATCATGCCAGGTTCAAAACTAGTTTTGATAGTTTTTTATGACCTGCTTCAGTCTCAGCTCAGCTTACTTTGCATGTTCTTAATGCATGAGACTATAGATGGCTACCATTTTTATCTCCTAAGCCAACCTATGGCAATTGCTCATTAATTTTCTTAAATAAAAAGATTGAAACTTAATAGGCATCAAAGAGGATGTTCAAATGCAATTGGTTTCCGAAGCCCTCATGTTGTGCCTTCCAGAGGGAGTTGTGTTCTGAGCCATATGCTGGGAACTATATACTGTTACATTAAAGCAATGCCTCCCTCCCCCTCCCCCAACCTTTAGGGCACTAGGGACCGGTTATGTGGAGAGAATTTTTTCTGGGGACCAGACAGGATGTGGTTTTTGTGCTGCCTATATCCCGCTTGTTTGCGCAGCCTGGTTTCTAGCATTCCATAGACTGGTGTTGTTCGAGGAACCGGGGGTTGGGGACTCCTGCATTAAAGGGCTTATTTATTTTGGATTAAACTTCTAAATATATTATCAGGGAGGCATTGCACATAAAAATCATATCCTGGATATGCTGAAGTATCAATCACCTTTGTTTTAGCTGGAACAACAATGACAACATTTTCAATCCGGATCCCAAAGGAGCCATCTTCATAATAACCAGGTTCTATAGTGACACAATTAAGGGGAAAAAAACATTTAGAATAAAACTCTCATAAATAAAAGCAAACCTCTCACAAATAAGAAATGCTCAAGAATTTATTAGCCAACAGCTCCTCAAATTTCATTTAGTTAATTTTTAAAAAGTGTGCTATGTCTAGTGAACACAGTATCACGTCAGGCCTTGCTGTATACAAGATGGGTAGATAAATCAATGGTGTCTGTCATCTAATCTAAGAAAATATTTTTGAGATGCCCCTTGTTAGAAACTGAATAATTAACCTTACAGAACTATTTTAGAGATTATTGAGATATAGCATGTAGAAAAAAGTCTGAATAGTTGAAGACACTTTAAAAATACAAGATAGTCTGATAATTGCATTATTCTTGTTTATTTTTTGAGGAAATATCACTGCATTCATGTTTTTCCCTATAAAATATGTGGAACAAAACAGTATGTAAGGGTTAAACATTCTTATACAAATATTCCAAGAGTTAAAAAAAAAAAAAAAAGCAAAATAATTTGCCCAAATTATATAACAATCAACAGGGATATGTTACCATCAGAAACAATCATTCCAGCTTCCAGAGGTTCATCTGCAAATGTTTTGTAGCTAATGCCACATGGACCTTCATGGACATTGAGGAAGGCACCAACTCCATGACCTGTACCATGCAAATAATCTAAGCCATGATCCCACAATGCAGAGCGAGCAAAGGAATCCAGGAGATGACCTATATACCAATACAGAAGTTACCAAGATAGAAATATAACACTCCAAACTATTCTTTTTTCTAGTAATATTTTAACTCTAATCAAGAAGATCGTAATAGCAAATGGTTTTGTTTCTCCTCTTGGATCTGCTTATTTGACCATTATATCTACTGATTTTTCCATAAATTAATTCTCTAAAGCAGTGATGGCAAATCTTTGTTGCGTCGGGTGCCAAAAGCACATATACATGCACTATTGCATGCACTTGGATGCCCACCCCCATAATTTGATGCCCCCGTGGCATGCCCCCTGCGCATGCATGTATACACGACTTTCTTGGAGCCTGGGGAGGACAAAAATACCATTCCCGCCACCCTAGATGCACTCTGGAGGCCGGAAATGGCCCATTTTCCGACTTCCGATAGACCTGGTAGGTCCATTTTTTTTGCACTCCCCAGGCTCCAGAGGCTTTCTAGGAATCTGGGGAGGGCAAATAATGGCCCAACATGCAAACCGGAAGTTCGGGAACAGACTTATGGGTTGCCTGTTGGACCGTTTTTTGCCCACCGGAGGCTTCAGGAGGCTTCCCTGAAGCCTCCAGAAGCTGAAAAACAGCCCAATGCTCAAACTAGAAATCCGTTTCTGAACTTCCGGTTTGTGTGTTGGGTAGTTTTTCGTCTCCGGAGGCTTTAGGGAAGCCTCCGGAGGGGGAAAAACGGCTGAAAATCAAGGCCGAAAATCAGGTGACCAGCATGTGCATGTGCACTGGAGCTGACAGGGCAACCTCTTGGGTGCCCTCAGAAATGGCTCCGCATGCCACCTGTGGCACACATGCCATAGGTTCGCCATCACGGCTCTAAAGTAATTAGTGATAATCTAATGATTTTCCCTATATTAATTATCTGAACAGAAAATAAATTTGTGATACTCTGAATTTAGTACCAGAGATTTTAAAAAATGGCCATACCATGTCACAAATTATTTTTAGTTTAAAGAATTGAATTTGGAAAACTTGCATGATCCAGAGAAGTTCCAATCCCACAATAAGGATTGCACATTGGTACAAAATAATGAAGAAAAAAGTTTACTTCATTAACATTTCAACTATAACATACTGAAAGTGCAACATACAATGTTCACTTCAGCTAAAAGCTTCTGTAACAATCTGGTGAGGTATTATTGTTTGTAAACCCTAGTTCATATTTTAATACAGTCAATCCATTCTGACATAGAAAAAATATTGGCTAATACAAAGAGGGGGTGCACCATGCTATACAACAGGAGACTCAATGTCACCAAGTGAATCATTAAGAGCTGAGCTACTCAAAGCCACTCAGGATGTGAACTTAACTCTACTAACAGAGTCTACACCAGAGAACTTGGCAACTTTACGTTTTGGTGACGTCAACTCTCAGAATTCTCCATCCAGCTCTGCTGGCTGGAGAATTCTGCGAGTTGAAGTCCACAAGTCTTAAAGTTGCCAAGTTTGGGGATCCCTGGTCTACACTTTCAATCTCCTAAATATGTCCTTCCAATTCCGATTAATGAAAATGACATCACCACAGCTGCTGCTGATCACTTTAATAGAAGATAGTGGAAAAAAATTTAACCCAAACCTTTGGTTCCATTGGGAAATATGGCTGCACTGACTGCTATGTGGCCCTTCAGGACATAGGTAAAACACTCCTGCAAAGAAAGAAAACACAGTAAACACAGCAAATAAAAAAAATGTCTAGTCATTTGTGGCCTGGACCATTTATATACATTTCTGGACTGATATCTGTCAACATATTTGACATATGGATAATAAGGAGCAGTATAATCCACAAATCTCTTTAAAACTAATAGAGATGGAGATTGTAGGCTAATAGAACCAGCTTTCATACAATCAGTCTTTACAAGGACTTGCCATAAATGTTCTCCCTGGATCTGCTATATATTTGAATTAAGAATTTCTGTCATTGACCAGAAGAAAATTATTAAGCTATGCTAATACACTGCACATGCTTCTCAATTTTAGAGATGTGGGGAATGATGCATTGGTTTGCGAAATAGGTGACTAATGCCAAAGTACCTTGAAGTGATTTGAGGATGCAGAGAGAATGAATGAGGTACTAATTGCAAAGAATGAATGGGTTGAGAGGAAAGGCAGTCATGACTAAGGCAGTCATGATTAGTTGGAGTTGATGAGTTCCTCAAAAAAGAGAAACGAGAAGTTTAAGATGCTATATGGATAAGGAGAAAGCAAGTAGCTAAAAAGATACAGAGATATAATAAATTAAGTGTGTATAAACTACTTTTAGATGTATTTCTTCTTGTTACCTTCCTTCAATTTTCTTTACTCACTACGTACTTTTTTACTTGATTTGTACAATGTTGCTCACACCAAAAGAATAGCATTCTATGTATTAACTTAAAAATAAATTTAAAAATAGGGTAGCTTTTTTTAATTAGAAAAATGAAGCCCCATCTAACTTGATGCATGTCTTCAAAGTAGGTGCAAAAATAATTGGCTTAATAACTATTGAAAAGGACCAAAAAAACCTGGAAACAAGTTGATGTATGCTGATTTTGCTTTTGGATCATTATTTTTTCCCAACACTGAACTCTAGTCACATTGTTGAAAAAATAGGATTTTTTTCTTCTTTTTCTTACTTTTTTCTTCATCTTCAGTCATTAGTCCAAATATTTGAGTTAACTTCAGAAGAAATCATGGACCAATTATACTGACAAGATCAATAAGATGAAACTGATCAAAATAAAAGGTAAATTTCAACTACCTATGGATAAAAGCTATGTACAGCTTATATTCAGTGATGCTACAGAAGATACAGTAGGATAATAAACACACCAGCTGGGCAACACAATAGCTAGGGACCTGTAACTCTACCAATCAACTATATACACAGACAAAGGTGGGATAATGCAGAAATGCTGGAAAAGGATGCACTTGTACATATGATTTGGAAAAACTTACAGTAGAGGATACATGATATACAAACTAGCTAGCTATAGGAGGACTTGGGAGTGCACAAAATGCCACCTTAACTCTATATGGAGTTACTTGTTTGCTGTTTCCCTAGTTTAATGGTTTCCACTCTCAGATATCTTTCAAAGAATCACTCCTTCCTTATGGAAGCTGCCGTCCATGAGGATGAATGGCTTTGGATCCCTAAAGTTGGATATATTACCTATAACATTTAAGGGACAATTCATATCATCAGATTTGATTTTCAGTTCCATACATTAAATGAATGCAATCTAGCAAATGATGTAACCTAGAATGTTTACTGATTAAAGGCTGCTTGAGAAAGGCAATTAGAGGAGAAAAATATTTTGTATACCTTTTCGTACATCAATGGGGTACCAAAATGCATAGTCCTTGTCACATCTGTAGTTCCATCCCTTCAAAAAAAGAACAAAAAGAACTTCTAAAAAAGATGTTTCCAATATTATAAGATAAAAACCCAGGTTCAAATTCTAATAACTAATAACCCAGTGAAGGAAGAATGTATTTTGTGGACGTTTTCAAACAGTTTTGTAGAATGAGTAAGATTCCAGAAGAATAGCCACTGCTTGCCCGAATCACTTATAAGAGGCCTTTTCATTACTGAGAAGTAGTTCTATACAATGAAATTATCTCACAGAGACACTGAAAGACCATTGGCTCTCCTTCAGCATTTTAGAGTTTGAATAAGATTATTCATAAAGGAACTCTGTGCATCAGACTTCCTCTGGAAACTAAAATGTAGAATTTGTCTACCAAATGGCAGAATGAACAAATAATCAATAGAGACTGTCATGCTGATATCATGCTTATTTTTTCTACTTTGCATTACTGTTATTAACTTTATTTTTTTCATATGGCTATGTTCCTACCTTTAATGAAGCACAATTTGTTTTAATTGGGCTTTGTTACCTGTCATGCAACCCGTATCAGACAACATGCTAAATTGTATAACAGGCATTACAAACAACAATGAATGGATTTTTGAAACATACTAAGCTAAAACAAACAAATAGCATTATGGCTTGGCACAATATGCAAATCTAGTCAATATCCTTGAATCATTTTGATTTATAACTTGGAATATGCCTGGCAGACCTTCAAGATAGCATAAAATATAAACACAGAAGGTGGAATAGCAAGATAGAAAAAAATAACTGCAGCAGTATTGATTTTCAGCACATATTAATAGATGATCTTCAAACTCCTAAACTACAATGTTTCTTCAGAATTCTGAGATGCCCTACAGGTTCACAAATATTTCAGCTACATGATGATACAAATTAATTTTAAACACATTTTAAAATTTTTAAACTACAACTTTGAAAAATTTGGTTTTTTCCATTCATATCTGATTCTTCAGAAGCTTTTACTAATCTCATATGTTCTGTATGCCCTGAACAGCAGTTCTAAGATTGGCAGTCTGCAGACTCAATGCAGATTCTGAGGACTGTAAGCAACCTATTTGGGAAGTAAGATGCTGGAAAGGCTGTTTTATAGGTTATACACAGTTCAGCATAAAACGTGTGGATTTAAATTATTTCAGTCCATTTACCACTTCATTAACATTGATGGACTATAGAGTGAAATAAGATTTTTTCCCCAAGTTGGTTATATTCAGAGTTCCAGGCACTCTGCCCCGCTCAGGTCATGACTTGACCTGAAAAGTCCTTCCATTAACTTTGCAACCACAGCTAGTTCAGTTCTGCTGTCCTTAAAGCTTGGAAAATATTATGGATGGATAACTCATTATTCTCAAGTGGCTGCTTCTCTTTGTAAATCTGAAGGAACCAATAATTAGACTGCCTGAGAAGAGAAAGATCCCATTGTATGTCTTATCAAAGAACATTCACACAGTTCCCATTCAAAGGCCTGCTTAAGAATGTTGGCAAGCAAAAATGCCAAAATTCTGAAGAAACAATTTTCTCCTGAAGATCAGGTCAGGCCTGCAACATTCTTCAATATTGACTAAAACAGTTTAAATCTCTATTAAATCTTTCCAAAATACTCAGAATCAGAATAGAGCTGGAAGGGACCTTGGAGGTCCTCTAGTCCAAGCCCCTGCTCAAGCAGGAGCATTTCAGAAAAGTGACTGTCTTCTTAAAAACCTTCAGTGATGAAGCATCCACAAATCCAGCAGAATGCAGGATTGCAGGCTAATTTTGTCAACTGCCAGCAGTTCAATCTTGACAGGCTCAAGGTTGACTCATCCTTCCACCCTTCTGAGATCAGTAAAATATGGACCTAGATTTTTGGGGCAATATGTTGACTGTAAACTGCTTAGAGAGGGCTGGGGTTTTTTTTTTTAATTTATTTTTATTTTTTAGCGTATGGCACATGTTAGCCAGGGATCACTGAGGTGGCTGGCTGCCTCTGTGAAAGGAATTTTTTGGGCGGTGTTATCTTTACCCCCAGGATGCCTGAGTGTGGGTAGGCAATCAGGAGAGGCTTCTTTCTTGTCCCTACGTGGTGTATTCAATCACAAGAATGGAGCCGCCAATCTCAGTGGTACACAGGCCCAGCGTATTACTGTGTGACCCACCGCAGCCCCCGGAGAGGGCTGTAAAACACAGTGAAGCGGTATATAAGTAAGTGCTATAGCTATTCTAGCCTTTAATAATCTTTAACAAATTTATATTTTTCCATCAAACTAACATCATTAAAACTTTGATATGTTATCCTAGGAACTAGGGTCCTCTGAATGGCAACATCTAGACAGGAAGCAAATCCTATTTCAAACTTGATCCATCGTAAGGAAAGCAAAGGTAAAATAAAAACAAATTTTAATTTAATAAGGCTGCCATAAGCTTCAATAAAAATTTATCTTCTCTGCGAAGTTTGATTATGTTTTTCATTAATCGCCTTACTCTACCTCTTAAGCATCCCTTAAGCTAAACTTAAGCAAATAATGTTATTCTGATATTTTGCCCACTGCAATGTTTTATTATTCTTTATTTGCAGGAAACATATGTTCAGAAAAAATAGTCTCTGATATTGTATCAATTTAGCAATATTCTGGTATGGCAAACATCAACATTTGCATTCTGACAAAAACTATAATAAAATATTAATTGCCCAGCCATTGGAGTTCAAGTCCAGCATCCATACAAAGAAGTCATAATGGAATAGAAGATGAAATAAATGAATTGCTAGTTTCAAAAAAACCCTTTCCCAACCTTGTCAGAATAACAATAATTGTACTTATTATTCTTTTACTATGGTTCTTTAGAACAAATCTGAGATGATTTAAAGGGTTTATCCCTACATAATATAGATAAGAAAAGGGAGTTATTGTCCTAGGTTTATTGGTTTGAAATAGAAATAGAAGCATAAGCTGCAGGTATAATAACCCACTTACTTGTATTGAGCACCAGAATCCAAGAGATAGATCTCATTCAATGACAAAGTTCTATTTGTTTCAGGAGAAGGCCTATTCAATAATAATAATACAAATTTAATGTGTCAACATCTTGTTTCAGGAATGCAGTTTATGAAGCTATTGCTTACATTATACAGTTAGATGATTAACTTTGCCATGCATGAATAATGTTTAACAATAACACATTTGGTTCATCTGTTACATATAATCTATGAAGGTATCTATGAAGTTCATGTTTAACCAAAACCTGGGTGGCTTGGACAGGCTGTTCTCTCTCAGAAACCTGGCATTAACCAAAACTCAGGACAGAGGTGGTACAGTAGCTATTATCATGCAGTACCCACCTGCTTCATTGAGGAAGAAACTTGTCCTGCTGATGTTAATTAAGATAATGGTTAACATCATCCTTAAGAAACCATCACTGAACTCAACCACATTGGTAACCTCCATCCTGTCTACAACTTTTTCTTTTGGGGAAAGATAGTTGATAGAATCATTGGCATACATCATCAGGAAACCCCAGAGGAAGTAAATTATCTTAACCGCTTTAGTCAGGTTTCAGATCTTGCTTATTAAACAACATTGATTGCTCTTGTGGATAACGTCTGGCAGGAACAGGATGGATCTGGTACATCTATCCTATTCTCCTTGATCTCTTCCCTCTGTGTGAAGTACCTCAGAGTTCAGTTGTATGTCTATTTCACTTTAAAACTATATGAAGTTTTTGGAAGGTTATCTAATGTCTCAGGTGAACTATGATCAGTATGCTGATGATACCAGCTGTCCATTTCTAACCAAGTGAGGTTATGGATGCATTGTCTTGGTATCTGCAAGCTGAGGGGGCCAAATGGGGAACTGCAGGCTTTTAGGTCAATCCTTAACAGACTGAGTGACATTGAATTTGAGGGTCCTTAAATCTGGTGATTTTCCACTTGCTCACCCCAAATGGAAAAGGTCACAATTTGGGATTCCTCCTTGACTTGTTCTTAGAGGAACACATGGAAACTGTGGCTAGGAGAGTTTTAACACTTTTTCTTTGGCACTAATTACATCATTTTCTGACCTAAGAGGCACTAGTCAATTGAGCATGGCTTGGTCACTTCCTGAATAAATTTGTTGGTCTCCCAGGTAAACCAAACAAGAAATATAATCAGGTGACCTAATTCCATTTTATTCTCAGGCCACATTAATAGACTCTTACAAGTCTTAAAATTCAAATTCCTATCATCACTTTTAACAGTCTGATATATTAGGGCAGATCCTTTTAAAGTTTCTTTCTTTACCCATTACGCATTGAGAGCTCCTCACCCTTTTATCTGATCAATTCCTGGGCAGTGTCTTATCAGCTGGTCCCTTAAAAACATTCCCACATATCATTACAGAATTATTGCAAGGCTGTCCCCATGTGGCTGTTCTTGAACAACATTTGGAAGCTTCAGCTGGTTTAGAATGCATTGGCATGAGCAGCTATGGGCTCACTTTGATGTATTTATTTTATATGTCCTGTACTGCACTGCACTGACTCCCAATATGCTTCTGGATCAACTCAAGGTGATATTATCATCTATAAAGTCTTTTGCAGCATGGAGTCAGATTATTAGTACAATGTTTGTAAATTTATTAGTTATATGGTAAATCTCTCTGTTCCTTTCTACCAATCCCCTTCAATCAGGCAGGAAATTCTGTAGGTTTCATCTATTGGAAGAATATCATTTGTGGGACCCAGAAAGTGAGATTCTTCTGTCAAGGCACTTGCCCTTCGGAACATCTTATCTTCCAAGATTAGATTAGCCCTGACTCTGTCAGCTTTCCAAAGAGCTTTAAAGAGTTGGATTTGTTCCCGGGCACTGGAATTTAGATTAGCTGGAACCTGTGGGATGTTCATAGTTTATCAGATGTGTTTTTTTATCTCAGCACTTATTATAGATTTTCTATATTTTTATTTAGTTGTTATTTTATATAGTGTTTTTATCTGTTGTTAGTTACCCAGAATCGCTATGATGAGATGGGAGATGGAAAGCTGTAAACATCAAAATAAATATTGACTTAATTCCTTGGATTGAACTATCATGTAATACATACTTTCAAAAAATAGATAAATATGGAGGAAGCTGCCTAGCTGTGGCAATTCCTTTTCCTTTATCTTTAACTATCATTTAAATCTATTTTAGTTTCTATTCTACAGCAAGTACTCTGACCAAGGTTCAGTTGTTCACTGAAGCTATTTTTAAGACTTCTTTTAAAAGGGCAGTTTTCCAAATTTTAAGTCATGCAGTCCTTGGCAACAGGGATAAGCCTCTGCTCACATTTTGTACTTCTATGGCAACAATCACAAGGATTCCATTTTGACAGTTTCTCAGTAATAATTTTGAACACACAAATAGCCAGAAGAGAAAGCAACAAAATCTTAAAAGCCAGCTTCTACTTCTGACTGGTCGTGGCGCAAGGCAGATTCTTCTTTGTTGCTTCTCCCACAAATAGGTATAGAGGGAGACTAAGGCAGTATGAAGATTCTAATTCTCTAATCCCCACATAAATTAAACAGCCAGAAACTAGAATAATGCTACCATCAATGGAGATTATCATTCCAGGTCTAAGAAGCCTAAAATGACATAAGGACAATATTTGATGAGTTGGAATGCAAGGAAAAGGTTTGCTTGTCACAATCAAATAGTAATCAATTTATTTTGAACTTAATTTGAACTAAGCTGCTAGATACTATAATGCTAGATGTCTTTTTGATTACACAATCAGCAGTTAAGTGCAAGGACTTTTATTGCTCTTACTTGTAGTGAATGATAGCACCATTTGGGCCTGTACTTGAAATGGTAGCAAAGCTCAAGTCAACAAAGTTCTCTTGCTGCCTGAAAAAGACAAATATTTCATTTAAAAAAAACAAAAAAAACCCAAATCACAAGAGATTTTTCCTAGCGGTATTTTCTTCAGTTGCCTCTTCTCTTTTGGTCATTTGTCATTCCCGCTTTGCTGGGTAGGATTTGAAATGCTAAGGAGAAGGTACACAACTCTGAATACTAAGAAACAGAGGCCAACCAAAGTCATCATCTTTCCCTAGTCCAATTCAGTGAGGTGATGTAGATTCTGGAGATGTGGAACCTAACCACTTAGTCATGCAAGCCAAGACTTGTTCAGCTTACTCTATAACAGTGGTTCTCAACCTGTGGTCCGCAGACCCCTGGGGGGAACCATGATATTTCACAGAGGGTCTGTGAAGGATTGAAGAAATGTTATGATTTAAATCTTAAGACTTGGGGGGTCCGTGGTCATGATCGGTGAACACAAAAGGTATTTAAAGGGGATTCATGGTGAAGAAAAGATTGAAAACCACTGCTCTAGATTAATAATAGGTAAGAAATCAACCAAAGTTTGGAAAGCTGAAAAGGAAGCTGGAATTAGGTGCTAGACTAATGATCCTGTTAGGGTCTCCATCCACTAACAATAAACAATAGCACTAGCAAAAGCATTTAGACTTATATACTGCTTCACAGTGCTTTACAGACCTCTCTAAGCAGTTTACAGAGTCAGCATATTTCCCCCAACAATCTGGATCCTCATTTTACCTACCTCAGAAGGATGGAAGGCTGAGTCAACCTTGAGTCTGGTAAGATTTGAACTGCCAAATTACAGGCAGGCAGCAGGCAGGAGAAATAGCCTGCAGTACTGCACTCTAACCACTGCACCATCTGTTCTGACCTAGGCTTCCTGATTCAGTAAAAAGCACACGCATACTCCCCAAAATCGTCTTTTTATTTCAAAGGCTTTGAATTATGTTCATTCACAGCCCATAATGAATCCCAAATAGTTGTAAAGAGTTCTACAGCAGCTGCCAAAGTATTTCGGGATAAGACTGATAAGCACCCACCTTTATCTTCCTGGAAACACTGCCTAAGACTTACTTGGCAGTTAGGTTGGCAAGGCCACATGGAGCAAAGAGTCAAAACGGAGCTTCAGAAGGTAAACTGACCAGTATGAACCAAGTTGCTTCCTGAAAAAGCTCACATATCTTTACTCCTCCTTTTTGTCCTATGGGAGGGGCCAATCACCTCCAAACCTTGCTCCCGAGTTGTCCTTTTTGTCTTAACTGTTCTTGCCTCCTGGCAGCTCTGCGCATGCACACACTGGGAACAGGAGGAGCCTGTTTCTCTGTCTCGCTGATGTCGGACTCTGGAGGCTCCGGAGGCAGCACATAACTCCCAGATGGCCCTGGCTCTCTCTCAGCCTCTGACACAGAGCCCTCATCCGAGCCTATCCCAGACTCCAGGACTGGCCCATGTCCCTCCCCATCCTCCTCGCTGTCGGACTGTGCTGCCAGCTCTGCAGGCTGCAGGCAGACCACAACACCAC